AAAATCAGCGAAACAAAAAATATTCATTTAAAAATGATGAAATTAATGAAATTGAAAAAATATTTTTTCTTTTTTAAGAAAAACTAATTTTCTTTTAAAGTTTCAAAGAATTTGGTAAATATTGTTACTGTTATTGTTATTATTGCTACCTTTCAAATTTAACTACTAATATATGTCATACCTTTTTTTTTTTTTTTTTTTCAAAATTTGTCTACTTAAATTACTATACTTTTTTTTTTTGGTGATATTTAAATGGTTATGCTTTATTTAAATTTATTCTAGCATGTGGAATTCTAGCATGTTTAAGGATATTTATTTGGTATTATTTAATTTAGAATATTTGGAATGTAATATTGTTTATCTTGTATAATAGCTCAAATATTTTAGAAAAAGTAATAAAATTAATGAAATTGAAAAAATATTTTTTTCCTTTTTAAGAAAAACTAATTTTCTTTTAAAGTTTCAAAGAATTTGGTAAATATTGTTACTGTTATTGTTATTATTGCTACCTTTCAAATTTAACTACTAATATATGTCATACCTTTTTTTTTCTTTTTTTTTTTTCAAAATTTGTCTACTTAAATTACTATACTTTTTTTTTTGGTGATATTTAAATGGTTATGCTTTATTTAAATTTATTCTAGCATGTGGAATTCTAGCATGTTTAAGGATATCTATTTGGTATTATTTAATTTAGAATATTTGGAATGTAATATTGTTTATCTTGTATAATAGCTCAAATATTTTAGAAAAAGTAATAAATTTTGATTTTCTAGCTGAAGTTTTTTTGGGAAAATTGTTCTGGGAAGTATAATAATTATAAAATAAATAAATGTATCGAATATGATATATGTTGAAATGGAATCAAACTATTATATATGTTGATTGAAATGGAATCAAACTAAAAAAAAAACTTTTGTATTGATTGAAATAATTGTATAAAAGTAATGTGACATAACTAATAAAATGAATTGTTCTCTTTTTCCTAATTTCAAATTTTAATTTAATATGATAATTAATTTTGTTTGCTATTTATATGTCAATGATATATTATTTCATTTGATTTTTTCATTATAATAGGATAATTTTTGAAAAATTACATTATAATACAGTTATACATCTTCTTCTTTTCTTTCTTTTTTTCAAAAAAATTTATTTTTTTTTTTGAAATTAAGCACAAGTGATAAAAAATTATTTTGAAAATTTTAAGTCGGAAAAATTTGAAATGTTTGTGAATATTTTTGTCACTTTTGTAACTGATTGAAACACACTGATAATAATAAATCAATTTTCAAATCGATTTATGAGATAAAAAAAAAAAAAAATTATTTGTTGCACATAAGATTGATTTATTATTATCAAATAGATTAATTGATTTAATGGATGGGAAATGATTAAATTTTAGGAAAAAAAACTGTGAAAGACAAAGAATGAAATTAATAGAATTAAATTGTTGGTTGTTTATGATAATAAAAATTAATTTGAAAATAAATGAATGATTTAGCTAAGATGTTCAGATCAATCTTATAAAAGTTCATTTTGATATATCTTATCAGCTAAACAATTGAAATGTGTTATTTATCAATTAGCTGTGTGATCAGCGTAAGAGCGTTTAAGAAAAAAAATTGATAAATTAACAAATCATTAAAAGTGCTTTCATTTGAATGCAAATGAATTTAGGAAAGGAGAAATTGTCACAAAAATGTCACACTGATTATAACTGATAGAATATTGATATTATAAAAATAATTTAACATTTAATATCCTTAATCTACTTAAATTACATTGATATTGTGATATGATAATATTGGTAAATTATTTACACTGATTTGATAATATTGATTAAATCAGTTGAATCAATTAATGCTTTTAAAGAATGCGGCATTGATCATTTAATGATTTAATGAGCAAAAAAAAAAAAAAAATTATATTAAATTTCTCATAATTTCATTCAGTTTAACAGCAAATGTTTTGAATCTAATAGATTTAATCAATAATAATTAGGATTCTATAGCAGTTTTACTAGTTATCAATTAATTAGTTATTTTTAAAAGTTATCAAATATAGTTCTGATAATAACTTCATATTATCACGAATCAATTATTCTAAAAAAGATTTGAGCGCAAAATTAAAATTATAAATTCAAATATAAGCATAAAACTGCTGAAATTGTTAAAATATGCATAAATTACGTAAAACTGATAGCTGTAATTATTTGAAACTATTAAAACTGAATGGAATTTTTTAAATAATAAACTTTTCTTAATTAAATGAAAAAATTAATTTGACAAAAATATAATTTAAGCTAAAAATATAAATATAAAATTCTGCTTTTGAAACTTAGGTAACATTAGATGAAAAATTTAACACTTATTGGCTTGGCTAGTAGAGATATGATAACAGTTTATATCAATTATAAATTTATCACTAAAGTCAAATTTTTATATCAGATTGCAAAAATTATAAAAATTTTTCTCGAGAAATATATCAATCGGTAAAGCTTATTTAATTAAATTAAGCTACAAAAATCTAGCAAAACAAAAATTTTAAGTTATTTTAAAATAAAAATAGGTGCAAGAAAATGTTAAATTTGAAATTTTGCAATCATTTAGCTTTCAGCATGAAGGTAATATGTAAGCTTAATTGCTAAACTTTTTGATTTTGATTAAAGTAATATATAATAAATTAAAGTAATATATAATCAATTTTTTGATTTTGATTAAAGTAATACTTAATAAATTTTTTTTTTAATTAAAGTAATATTAAAAACTATTTCAAAAATTATTGGTATTAAAATTGAAAAGATTATAAATTCAAACCACATGTAAATTCTTGATAGGATTTTTATCCTGAAATTAATTATAAATATGTTTTGAAATTTGCTCATTTTTATAACAAATAATCTTTGCTTTTTCAAAATTTCTCAAATTTTGAAGGAACTACAACTATTACCAATTTCAGGATTTAAAAAAAAAAAATAAGTGACAAAATTTGTTATTTCATACTCGAGGAATTTCATAAGAAAAATTTAATTATTATTATTAATTATCAATTTATTTTCAGTGTTCAATTGTTATTTTATGATTAGTTTTTTTTTTTTTTTTTTTTTTTGCGACAAAGAAAATTTTGTCAAATAATTGAACATTTGTCCACAAAATTGTTATTAGCTTTATTGGATAGTTAAAACAATCATTTTTTGATTTGTCTAAAATGATCGTGATTTGATTCTAAATGATTGCAGTTATTTTGATCAATTAGCTATGATCAATGCTTTTTTTTTTTTTGAACTGATTATTATTCAATGATAATTTTCCTAAATGTAAAGAAAAAAAAAGGACGAAAATGAATTGCTTTTTGATCATTTATTAGTTGCATTGATTGCCATTGATTAGCATATATTATCTGAAATATGAGCTAATATTCGATTACTTAAAATTGAATTGCAAATTCAAGAATCAAATATTGCTAATAATTGAAAATAGCAATGACTAAATTTATAAGTAACATAATTTTTTACTTTTTTTTTTTACTAATTTTTTACTTTATTACTTTTTCTAAAATATTTGAGCTATTATACAATGCAAGATAAACAATATTACATTCCAAATATTCTAAATTAAATATTAGCAAATAGATGTCCTTAAACATGCTAGAATTCCACATGCTAGAATAAATTTAAATAAAGCATAACCATTTAAATATCACCAAAAAAAAAAGTATAGTAATTTAAGTAGACAAATTTTGAAAAAAAAAAAAAAAAAAAAGGTATGACATATATTAGTAGTTAAATTTGAAAGGTAGCAATAATAACAATAACAGTAACAATATTTACCAAATTCTTTGAAACTTTAAAAGAAAATTAGTTTTTCTTAAAAAAGAAAAATATTTTTCAATTTCATTAATTTCATCATTTTTAAATGAATATTTTTTGTTTCGCTGATTTTTTTTAACTAATCTAATTTAGGTACTAAATAGTTTAATTGATTCTTTTATTCTATATTATATTGCAACTAAAAAATAAAAAATTATTTCATAATTTAATTTAATCACTGAGTTATTCAATTTATTATCATCAAAACAGATAGCAAACATGATTTTTTTTTTTTGTAATTTTAGGTTTTTTTTTTCTTTTTTCTTTCCTATCATATTTTTTGTTTCATTTTTTTTTTTTTTTTTTTGTTAAGCAAGAAAAAAGACATAAAAATTCAATGAAATACCATACGGAAATTCCATTTAAAAAAAAAAATTATTGATCATAAAACTTTCAATAGCCTTTGCAATTTTAACTTTTTATTTTGTTTTTGTCCTTTTATCTCATTCTTTTCTGGTCGTTTTAATTCTAGAAAAATTCATTCAGAAATTTATTCAGCCCTCATCGCTCCGCTACCACCCCCGCGCCTACAGGCCACGCCTTCGTCGCCCCGCCCCTAATACGCTTGCTTGACCACGCCCTTTTCGCCCCGCCTCCGCCACGCCCGCATGGCCACGCCCCTTTTCGTCCCGCCCCACCATTACTGCACCTCTTATCACTGTACCTCTTATCACTGTACCTCTTATCACTGCACCTCTTATCACTGTACCTCTTATCACTGTACCTCTTATCACTGTACCTCTTATCACTGCACCTCTTATCACTGCACCTCTTATCACTGTACCTCTTATCACTGCACCTCTTATCACTGTACCTCTTATCACTGCACCTCTTATCACTGTACCTCTTATCACTGCACCTCTTATCACTGTACCTCTTATCACTGCACCTCTTATCACTGTACCTCTTATCACTGCACCTCTTATCACTGCACCTCTTATCACTGTACCTCTTCTCACTGCACCTCTTATCACTGAACCTCTTATCACTGCACCTCTAATCACTGTACCTCTTATCACTGTACCTCTTATCACTGTACGTCTTATCACCGTACCTCTTGGTACCGTACCTTTTGGTACCGTACCTCTTGTTACCGCACCTTTTGGTACCGTACCTCTTACCGTACCTTATGGTACCGTACTTTCTTGTTATTGTACCTCTTGTTACCGTACCTTTTATCACCGTACCTCTTGGTACCGTACCTCTTATCACTGTACCTCTTGGTACCGTACCTCTTTGGTTACCGTACCTCTTGTTACCGCACCTTCTTGGTACCGTACCTCTTGGTACCGTACCTTTTATCACCGTACCTCTTGGTACCGTACCTCTTATCACTGTACCTCTTGGTACCGTACTTTTTGTTATTGTACCTCTTGTTACCGTACCTCTTGGTACCGTACCTCTTGTTACCGTACTTTTTATCACTGTATCTCTTGGTACCGTACTTCCTATCACCGTTTTAACAAAAGATATGGTACCAAAAGGTGCGGTAACAAGAGGTTCGGTACCAAGAGTACGGTAACAAGGTAACAAAAGTACGGTACCAAAGGTACAGTGATAAGAAGGTACGGTACCAAGAGATACAGTGATAAAAGTACGGTAACAAGAGTACATCAACAAAGATACGGTACCAAAAGATACAATAACAAAATACGGTACCAAGAGGTACGGTGATAAAGGTACGGTACCAAGAGGTACAGTACCAAACGCGGTAACAAGAACAATAACAAAAGTACGGTACCAAGAGGTACGGTATAAAAGGTACTAAGAGGTACGGTAAAAAATACGGTAACAAGAGGTACAATAACAAAAAGTACGGTACCAAGAGGTACAGTGATAAGAGGTACAGTAATAAAAGATACGGTACCAAGAGGTACAATAACAAAAAGTACGGTACCAAGAGGTACAGTGATAAAAGTACGGTTACAAAAATACGGTGATAAAGGTACGGTACCAAGAGGTACGGTACCAAAGGTGCGGTAACAAGAGGTACGGTACCAAGGTTACGGTACCAAGAGGTACAGTGATAAGAGGTACGGTACCAAGAGGTACGGTGATAAAAGGTACGGTAACAAGAGGTACAATAACAAAAAGTACGGTACCATAAGGTACGGTACCAAGAGGTACGGTACCAAAAGGTGCGGTAACAAGAGGTACGGTACCAAAAGGTGCGGTACCAAGAGGTACAGTGATAAGAGGTACAGTGATAAGAGGTACAGTGATAAGAGGTACAGTGATAAGAGGTGCAGTGATAAGAGGTACAGTGATAAGAGGTGCAGTGATAAGAGGTACAGTGATAAGAGGTGCAGTGATAAGAGGTACAGTGATAAGAGGTGCAGTGATAAGAGGTACAGTGATAAGAGGTACAGTGATAAGAGGTACAGTGATAAGAGGTGCAGTAATGGTGGGGGCGGGACGAAAGGGGCGTGGCCATGCGGGCGTGGCGGAGGCGGGGCGAGAAGGGCGTGGTCAAGCAAGCGTATTAGGGGCGGGGCGACGAAGGCGTGGCCTGTAGGCGCGGGGGTGGTAGCGGAGCGATGAGGGCTGAATAAATTTCTGAATGAATTTTTCTAGAATTAAAACGACCAGAAAAGAAAGAGATAAAAGGACAAAAACAAAATAAAAAGTTAAAATTGCAAAGGCTATTGAAAGTTTTATGATCAATAATTTTTTTTTTTAAATGTAATTTCCGTATGGTATTTCATTGAATTTTTATGTCTTTTTTCTTGCTTAACAAAAAAAAAAAAAAAAAAATGAGAACAAAAAATATGATAGGAAAGAAAAAGAAAAAAAAACCTAAAATTACAAAAAAAAAAATCATGTTTGCTATCTGTTTTGATGATAATAAATTGAATAACTCAGTGATTAAATTAAATTATGAAATAATTTTTTATTTTTAGTTGCAATATAATATAGAATAAAAGAATCAATTAAACTATTTAGTACCTAAATTAGATTAGTTAAAAAAAATCAGCGAAACAAAAAATATTCATTTAAAAATGATGAAATTAATGAAATTGAAAAAATATTTTTTCTTTTTTAAGAAAAACTAATTTTCTTTTAAAGTTTCAAAGAATTTGGTAAATATTGTTACTGTTATTGTTATTATTGCTACCTTTCAAATTTAACTACTAATATATGTCATACCTTTTTTTTTCTTTTTTTTTTTTCAAAATTTGTCTACTTAAATTACTATACTTTTTTTTTTTGGTGATATTTAAATGGTTATGCTTTATTTAAATTTATTCTAGCATGTGGAATTCTAGCATGTTTAAGGATATTTATTTGGTATTATTTAATTTAGAATATTTGGAATGTAATATTGTTTATCTTGTATAATAGCTCAAATATTTTAGAAAAAGTAATAAAATTAATGAAATTGAAAAAATATTTTTCTTTTAAGAAAAACTAATTTTCTTTTAAGTTTCAAAGAATTTGGTAAATATTGTTACTGTTATTGTTATTATTGCTACCTTTCAAATTTAACTACTAATATATGTCATACCTTTTTTTTTTTTTTTTTTCAAAATTTGTCTACTTAAATTACTATACTTTTTTTTTTGGTGATATTTAAATGGTTATGCTTTATTTAAATTTATTCTAGCATGTGGAATTCTAGCATGTTTAAGGATATCTATTTGGTATTATTTAATTTAGAATATTTGGAATGTAATATTGTTTATCTTGTATAATAGCTCAAATATTTTAGAAAAAGTAATAAATTTTGATTTTCTAGCTGAAGTTTTTGGGAAAATTGTTCTGGGAAGTATAATAATTATAAAATAAATAAATGTATCGAATATGATATATGTTGAAATGGAATCAAACTATTATATATGTTGATTGAAATGGAATCAAACTAAAAAAAAAACTTTTGTATTGATTGAAATAATTGTATAAAAGTAATGTGACATAACTAATAAAATGAATTGTTCTCTTTTTCCTAATTTCAAATTTTAATTTAATATGATAATTAATTTTGTTTGCTATTTATATGTCAATGATATATTATTTCATTTGATTTTTCATTATAATAGGATAATTTTTGAAATTACATTATAATACAGTTATACATCTTCTTCTTTTCTTTCTTTTTTCAAAAAAATTTATTTTTTTTTTTTTTTGAAATTAAGCACAAGTGATAAAAAATTATTTTGAAAATTTTAAGTCGGAAAAATTTGAAATGTTTGTGAATATTTTTGTCACTTTTGTAACTGATTGAAACACACTGATAATAATAAATCAATTTTCAAATCGATTTATGAGATAAAAAAAAAAAAAAGAATTATTTGTTGCACATAAGATTGATTTATTATTATCAAATAGATTAATTGATTTAATGGATGGGAAATGATTAAATTTTAGGAAAAAAAACTGTGAAAGACAAAGAATGAAATTAATAGAATTAAATTGTTGGTTGTTTATGATAATAAAAATTAATTTGAAAATAAATGAATGATTTAGCTAAGATGTTCAGATCAATCTTATAAAAGTTCATTTTGATATATCTTATCAGCTAAACAATTGAAATGTGTTATTTATCAATTAGCTGTGTGATCAGCGTAAGAGCGTTTAAGAAAAAAAAATTGATAAATTAACAAATCATTAAAAGTGCTTTCATTTGAATGCAAATGAATTTAGGAAAGGAGAAATTGTCACAAAAATGTCACACTGATTATAACTGATAGAATATTGATATTATAAAAATAATTTAACATTTAATATCCTTAATCTACTTAAATTACATTGATATTGTGATATGATAATATTGGTAAATTATTTACACTGATTTGATAATATTGATTAAATCAGTTGAATCAATTAATGCTTTTAAAGAATGCGGCATTGATCATTTAATGATTTAATGAGCAAAAAAAAAAAAAAATTATATTAAATTTCTCATAATTTCATTCAGTTTAACAGCAAATGTTTTGAATCTAATAGATTTAATCAATAATAATTAGGATTCTATAGCAGTTTTACTAGTTATCAATTAATTAGTTATTTTTAAAAGTTATCAAATATAGTTCTGATAATAACTTCATATTATCACGAATCAATTATTCTAAAAAAGATTTGAGCGCAAAATTAAAATTATAAATTCAAATATAAGCATAAAACTGCTGAAATTGTTAAAATATGCATAAATTACGTAAAACTGATAGCTGTAATTATTTGAAACTATTAAAACTGAATGGAATTTTTTAAATAATAAACTTTTCTTAATTAAATGAAAAAATTAATTTGACAAAAATATAATTTAAGCTAAAAATATAAATATAAAATTCTGCTTTTGAAACTTAGGTAACATTAGATGAAAAATTTAACACTTATTGGCTTGGCTAGTAGAGATATGATAACAGTTTATATCAATTATAAATTTATCACTAAAGTCAAATTTTTATATCAGATTGCAAAAATTATAAAAATTTTCTCGAGAAATATATCAATCGGTAAAGCTTATTTAATTAAATTAAGCTACAAAAATCTAGCAAAACAAAAATTTTAAGTTATTTTAAAATAAAAATAGGTGCAAGAAAATGTTAAATTTGAAATTTTGCAATCATTTAGCTTTCAGCATGAAGGTAATATGTAAGCTTAATTGCTAAACTTTTTGATTTTGATTAAAGTAATATATAATAAATTAAAGTAATATATAATCAATTTTTTGATTTTGATTAAAGTAATACTTAATAAATTTTTTTAATTAAAGTAATATTAAAAACTATTTCAAAAATTATTGGTATTAAAATTGAAAAGATTATAAATTCAAACCACATGTAAATTCTTGATAGGATTTTTATCCTGAAATTAATTATAAATATGTTTTGAAATTTGCTCATTTTTATAACAAATAATCTTTGCTTTTTCAAAATTTCTCAAATTTTGAAGGAACTACAACTATTACCAATTTCAGGATTTAAAAAAAAAATAAGTGACAAAATTTGTTATTTCATACTCGAGGAATTTCATAAGAAAAATTTAATTATTATTATTAATTATCAATTTATTTTCAGTGTTCAATTGTTATTTTATGATTAGTTTTTTTTTTTTTTTTTTTTTTTGCGACAAAGAAAATTTTGTCAAATAATTGAACATTTGTCCACAAAATTGTTATTAGCTTTATTGGATAGTTAAAACAATCATTTTTTGATTTGTCTAAAATGATCGTGATTTGATTCTAAATGATTGCAGTTATTTTGATCAATTAGCTATGATCAATGCTTTTTTTTTTTTGAACTGATTATTATTCAATGATAATTTTCCTAAATGTAAAGAAAAAAAAAGGACGAAAATGAATTGCTTTTTGATCATTTATTAGTTGCATTGATTGCCATTGATTAGCATATATTATCTGAAATATGAGCTAATATTCGATTACTTAAAATTGAATTGCAAATTCAAGAATCAAATATTGCTAATAATTGAAAATAGCAATGACTAAATTTATAAGTAACATAATTTTTTACTTTTTTTTTTACTAATTTTTACTTTATTACTTTTTCTAAAATATTTGAGCTA